CTGGAAGAAATGGGGAGGAAAGCTGAAGGCAAATAAAGAGAACACTTGACCAAAAAAAAAAATTTTTGAAAAGAGCTCCCAAGAAAAAGCACTTTAAATGCCTCCTGATGGCCACACAGCAGCAGCATAGCACTCGGTATGTGCTGCAGACATCCCAACCATGCACTCACTGCTTGGGAAATGCAACCTGTGCCCAAACACTGCACACTTCTGCCACTTCAGGGACAGGAGAAGCCTTTCAAGCTGCAAGGACATAGGTTGTTCTCAGGTCAGCCTTCAAAAGATCTTTTTGACAGAGAACAATATCCAAGGACAATTGTAATCCAGGCTTTTCATAGTACACTGGCCGGAATGTCCATCAGCTTTGAGTGTGCAGCATGTGACATCTAAACTTCAGTTTTCACAGACACTATCAACTCTTGCTAGTCAGCCTCAGGCACAAGGATGCTACAGGCCTAAAGCTAGCCATAAAAATATAAATAATAATAAAAAAATCAGCAGTGATTTTACTTCTAAGTTCCAGATTTATCCTAAAATGAGATAGACTGAACTGGCAGCTAGAAGCCAAGTCGCACCAACACAGGCAGAAGCTGTGACAATGGTTTTGGCTATAACAGCTGTTACCAGGACAGGTACTCAGGAGGGGCTGGGCACAGAGGAGGCACAGCCAGAGGAGCTCACACAGCAGCCCTGGGGGCTGAGAGCAGCACTGTGATGCCTTGTCAAGGCTGACCTAGAGCAGAGGCCAGACAGAGTTAAAGAATAAAGCAGGGATTTATTAAAAGGCCTCAATGGATCCACCTTGGGCAGCACAAGAGCCCAGCCAGGGCTGCATCCAAAATGAACCAAAATGGTCACAAACTGGAAGACTGGTCAAAGGGTCTCTCATTTTTGTAAGTTTTAGTCCATTTGTGTATTGGAGTTAATTGTCTAATTATAGCTTTAGGTTATGAAGTCCCATTCTTCTTGTTTTTCACTCTTCAATTCATGTTGTTTGTGCTCTTGGGCCTGAGATTTGGATCATTTGTCCTTGGCCCCCAGCTAGAGAAGGAATTGTTTTGTCTCCCTGCTCTGTGAAGTGAGGTCACCATCCCCTCATACGAAGCTCAGAATTACACACTAAAGAAGCACAGAATCTGAAAAATATAAAAGCTGAATCCTGAGGTGTCACTGGCATCTCTCAGAGACACAGGGCAGATCAGCTCAGCCCCCACTAGGCTGCTCAGGCCACGCAGATCTGCAGCAGTGCCAGGTCCATGGGTGAGGTACCGCTGGTGCCTGAGCCAGCAGCTCCTCCTTCCCAAGGCAGGAGCAGCTGGAAAGGCTTTGGAGAGCTGGAGCATCTGAGGCTGCCAAAAGGCGCTCACAGCTTGTGGGAAAATACAGCTGTGTTCCAGGCACGGCCTGTGTGGAGCTGGGAACAGCTTGGCATCTTCCCTCCCCTCCAACAGCAACTGCAGAGCTGCCTGGGGTAGCTCAGCCCTGCTCCTCCACACCCTGAGCCGTGCTCAGACACAAACCTTTCACTTGTATTTTTTTACAGTCAGTTATCAAGAGGCAGCCAGTGGCAGGTTATCATGGGAGATGGGTTTGAAAGGCAAGGCTGGTCAGATTTTGCAACTAACAGATCTAACTAACAGAACTAACAAATCAACCGCAGAAACAAATTCCTCAACTCATTTCAAAGAGGGGGAAAAAAAAGGCTTCAAGGAAGATCTCTTTTTTCCCCATCTTGCAGATTTCTGGGAGTGCTTTGAATTATTTTAGCAAGGAATAAAATGTCCCTGCTCCTGATAGATTGCAGTGTTCTCTGCTCAGAAGACAAATCAATATTACAGATCACAAATAAAATAGTCAGAAGGATTGAAAACAGGATTTACAACTGAATAGCTACCACACCTACATGAAAATAATAATTTACATTCCTCACCACACCCTATCAACTACACGCAGGCAGCCTGAAACAGGAAAAGTAACAAAAATAATGGGAAAGAGCAGCAAAGAGTGTCTTGACATTATTTGAACTGATATGAAAACAGGAGTTGAGGGCAGGGAAGTATTTCCTCTTGAAACAAAAAACAAAAAAAAAAAAAACAAAAAACAAAAAAAAACCAGCACAGAAACCTTCTGAGGGGTTTAGAGTTTCAGGCTTTCTTATTGAGGGAAAAAATCCCCAAATCCCCCAAATCTATGAAAAGCATACACTTTCCATAGAGAATGGGTTCATTGAAAAGCAATTTTCTGTTAAAAATCAGTTCTGACAGGGTAGTTTCATCCAGGCTTGGATGTTGGATACCACAGGAGCATTTGCCAGGAATAAAAATAGGCATTTAGCTCTGAAGGGCTGGGCTGCCAGCCTTTAAAAATGACTCCTTGCCTAGGGAAGAGGTTCCTCTGTCTCAGGGATGGCCAGTGACAGATCAGAAGGGATAGAGGTTCACGATTTGTGTGGGAGTCTTGAATAATCTGTTCCTATTTTAATGTGAACATGGGTGGTAACATGGAATTACAGCGTGTGGAGGCGGGCTGGTGTGCGCGGATTAATGAAAAATAATGAGATAATATTGAGCACTTCTGTAGTCTCATTACAAGGGCTCAGTTTCTCCACTGACAGAAATCCCTGGAAAATACCATACTCTGGGAATCCAGCCCTAATCTTTGTACCAGGAATTAACAGGAAACACAAAGGCTATTTCACAAGTATATTCCTTTGAAAAGAGCTTTCGTTCTTAGGCTAAAATTTTAGGCGACTCTGCATTTACCCAGTAATCCTTTCAACTCATATTTCATTGAATCCAGAAGTCATTGTGGCTCCTGAGGTACTCTGCTGTGAAAAAAAACCCAAAACAAACATTTATAATTGCATGCTGGAAGTTATGACAATGTTTATATGATGCACCAAGAAGAGACAAAAATAAGCACTGAAGGGCACAAGGGTAAAGCTGGGCTTATTGAGGACTAACTACATTAGGATCGACTAAAAAGAAAGAAAAAAACAACCCAAGCATGTTCAAACTGCAATCCAAGCAAAATTTATTTTTAGTCCCTCGATTATTGCGAGTTTCATAATGGGATTTTGAGGCCCTGCCGTTGTGTCCCATTAACAAGGGCCCTGTTATATATTCCACAGTGTCCTGGTGGGAAATGGCTCATGGCAGGGCTGGGATTTGACATTTGAGCAGAGAGATGGAGGAAAACCTGCTTTGATTCACCACCTTTTAAAAACAAACTCACCCTCAGAAGAAACCCCAGTAAGTTCTTGAAAGTACGGCATAAAAATAGAAATATTAGCGCTGTAGAAGCCAAAGCCAGAAACCAAGGCTCAACTTTACTTAAGTGGGAAAATGATATTGGTTTTGGTAAAACTGGAGGAGGCCGCTGGCAGAATGCAGGGCTGGACTGGCAGATCAGAAACACAGAAAACAGAAAAAGCTTACCTGGCTACAAGACTGATCCAGTTATCAATGCGAGGGGTGATGCTGCAGTTCAAAGAGCACTGCAGGTGTATCATTTGATGCTGCAACAAAAAAAATAATTCCGTATTTTTGAACCCCTGGCCTCCCACAGACCAAAGGGAACTGGGTGATGGCAGCATAGCCAACACTGGTCACTGGAGTGATTTTTAAGCATCCGTTGCTTTAAAGAAGAAAAGGCTGCCTTTGATGCAGTAAGAGTTTCCCAGCAAAAGCCACACAGAGGAGGGATCAGACATGATTCCCTGTTGCCTAGATAAGAGTTTAACTGGTGCCATCAGCCTGCCCTTTGCTGGCAGCTGCTGACAGGGTGACCTAAAGGGAAAGGCAATGGCACCCATGGTGTGACTCCTGCCCAGAGACAGGCACACCACCACGCTGGCCCTGAATCAAGGCCAGGAGGTTTCTAAGAGCCTCTTCCTTAATAATGTCAGGCCACACACAGTCTCACCCAGGACAATGACTCAGCAGTCCTAAGGATTAGAAAGTAATTTAATGTCTCCCTATGAGCTCTCCCCTGATCATCTCAGACCCTTAGCTGAAGTCAATGAAAAGAGCATCAATTTCTCAAGTAAGTTTTTGGACAGGTCCCTGGGTCCATCAAGCCAGTCATTTCTGTCCTGCAATGGCACAAAAAAATGGGATTTCTGCTCTATGCTCTAAAGATTCAGACTGCCCCATCAGCTGAATTCTGAGGGTTTTTTTAAGCAAAATCAGTAATCCAGCAATCCTGTGTAACAGGAATCAGGAAATTCTGCTCACTGAACAGAAGCATTCCTTGGAGACAACGTACATCAAACATGACTTAAAGGAAGATTAACTTTTATTCAGGTAATATCTTAAGGAATTTCCATTCTCATGTGAATGATGAACACTTTTATTATGGGGAGAGGCTGGTTAATCTTTAACCAAGAATTTACAAGAGATTTGTAAAACAAACAACAAACAATTTATGAAGCTCCATGAGATCTTCCTTTTAGTCGACAGAGTTTGTACTGTGAATGCTACCAGGTCGATAGCTGGGTTAGGAAAGGAAGGAAGGACAGGTTGGGCAATGAGAAATGCCCAAAAAATCCCTACATCACCTCTGGAAGGGGTGAGGGAACTCAGCCAAAAATCCATGATGAGGGAAGGGTTTAAAGGCAATGTGTGTGCAGTCCAAGTGTTTCCAGAAAAACCTAAGGGCACTAATTCATTTCAAAACCACAGCAGAGCCATTGGCAGGTGGCTGATGCCACCATTTGACACAGCAGGACCCTCATGGACACTTCTCTCAGGGATGCTGAAGCTGATGAAGGGCATTTCTTTCGCTCCAATGAATGTTAAAAGCAGATCTGTGCCCAGCTCCCCCCTCTCAGAAGCCATGCTCAGAGCCCCAACCCATAACACAGTCTCTCTAGCTAATTAACAGGATTTGTGAGCAGGTAGAAATGCAGTTCCTGCCAAACCACCACGTGTGCTTCCTGCTGCAAGAAAGAAATGTGTGTGCATAAACCAATGTGTCCAGAAAGCTTGAATGGAAAACCCTTTCATGTCAGAAGTTTATTTTTATTGGTAAAATATTAAATAATATACAGAATTAAAAACTGCACTTACACTTCTGAGAAGAAATAATTCTTGGACAAATTATATGCTTGTTCCTGAGATTCCCTACATTTATTCCAGTAGCTGTGCACTCAAGACAGTACAAACCTTTATAATATAATCCTTTTCACAAAGTATTACAAAGTTTCTGCAGCTTCTTTTATTTATACACGCACACACACACGGACTCCCACTCTCACATGGCTGTACAACACTCACACAGGTACAGAGCACACACATACAGATGTGCAACCATATGTATGCATGTATGCTAAGAAGAAAATAAAAATAACAACAAGTCCCATAGTTCAGTCTATAGCGGCAAAACTCTTTTAGCAGGGGGATACAGGTTTACATTAGGGTTGCTCACATGCACCACTGTCAAAGGGATTGTTTCTGAACTCCTTTTATAAGAGCACCTTCCAATGAACACATAAAGTGGGACAACTCCCAGTGTCTTCACTGGCTTTTGGAGTAAACTCTGATGTAAATTTTTTTTTTTAATTTTTTTTTATTTGAAAGATTCCTCAATTTAAGCTCAGCAGATCTATCACAGAACTAAAAATTCTTACACCTGGGAGAAGAAAAGGGGTCATTTCCCAGATTAGCCGCCCGGCTGTGGTGGGGAAAAGAGCAGCGCGGGGGGCAGAGCGCAGCTCGGGAGATGCCGGGGGAGATGCCGTGACAAGCGGCCGCATCCTTAGCCCGGAGCTCCTCTCCCCGGCCGTGCCCGGGTCCCGCTGCTCAGCGCGGCCCCGAGAGCAGCAGGAGCCGACACTCCCACAATTTGGCCCAGGGAGTGAGACCAGAGGGCACCGAACCTTGTTCTTCTTCAGCTCAGACACCAGGGGCTGGGCAACGATTTTGGCAATCAATCAGAAGGGGATACATACAGTCTCCTCGCCTTTGTTATTATTAAAAAGAAATCTCTTAAATACAAATTTAAAAGACAAAAGTGGCTACTGTGCATGCGCAGTAACTGCCTTTCCAAGAAGTCTCCATGGGATTTTATTCCTTTTTTTTTATTACGTACCTAAATACATATTTACACAACAGCGGCTTCAGTCTACTGGGGGGTGGGAGGGAAGGCATTAAAAATACACTATATATAAATACGTATGATATGTAAAACAAGTCCCATCTAAACTTATATAAGACAAGGACAACTCTAAAGAAGCTTTTCTGGTCTCTCAGGTAGATAAAAGACACAAGTCCTGTAATTCCTTTGCAGGCAAATCTCTTCCCTAGAGTAAAGGGCAGTTTTGCCCAAACTGAGAGATTAGACCTAATCCAAAATCCACCCTCAAAGTCAACAGGAGTCTCCACTGAGTGGGTTTTGGATCAGACCAAAAGATCTTTTTATTTTTTTGTCATTTTTAATAAACATCAATATTAAGTGCTTTTCTTAAAAAAGCTGCAATTAGAAAAGAAGAGGGAGGAAGAGTCAAGAACACTTATGTCCTTAATTCTGGATGTGGATGTGTTTCAATGCCAACGACAAGCAGGAGGTAAATGATGGGCTTTAGCCTTAATTTACAGTTTCTCATCTTTTGTCAGTCGCAATCAGTTTACTTGAACCATATGTTTAAATGCATTTAGGGCAGAGCATTTTGTTTCACTGATTCGTGTGGACTGAGGAAGGAACACAGAAACCACTGTACATTAATAAGATGTCAGGGTAAGTATTGCACTTGAACAGAAAAATAACTCAAATGTTGGCGATTTTTGTTTTTAGAATTAATACAAGCAAATCATCCATGTCTGCAATGATCATGTTTAGAAAGCAGGATCCAAGAATGAAGCATAAGAAGCAAATTTGGGGTTGGTAACCCCCACCCTGGAATATAACAGTAGTAAAACTTTTTTTAAAGCATTTTCTTCCAACAGGAAAAAAAAATTATATGACTTTTTTTTTTAACTTTACAATTTTAAATCTTTCTAAACATTTGCATTAAAAGTTTCCAGTTTCTCATAAAAAGATATATATTTTAGGAAAAAAAACCAAAACAAAACAGAAAATAAAACCAACTAAAAAGGAAGGCAAATATACAGTATTATAATTACATCACTGTAGAGTCATCTCAAAGGTACCCTAGATCTTTAAAGTGTTACAAAGAGTATGTACCTTATTTTTTTTTCTCAAATCGACTTTTTTTTTCTTTTTTTTCTGTTTTTAATAAAAAACTACACTTGAGTACAAAAATATGTAAACAGACTGTACAGCCAATGAACAAAACAACCCCGAAAACCACCCCCCCCAAACCCCTCGACAGCCCAAAGCTACAGGAGATAAGAGCAGGCCCAGACTTAAAGCTCCAAGAAGGAAAAGGGGGAAAGAGAAAAGCACAGAAAGCCAGAGGAGACTGCTACATGGTGAGGAAGTGAACGTGTTCAAGCTCTGAGGACACTTGACAATTTGTCAAATAATTGATCACAGTTTCAGAATCTGAATGACTACAAAAACAACCAACAAAAAGTCCTTCCCTTGTTACAGTGTGTTCAGGAACCAACATCCATTTCCAGTAAGCAAAGTGAAATCCCAGTAAGTGCATAGTAGGGACTCAGTGACCTCCACCCCTGCAAGAAGCTTTTCTCACTCGATGTCACTTGAGGTAAAACTAAATGGCCCAATTCACTGCAAACTGGCCCTGTTGTGCCTGTAAGGAGAGGAGGGATGGGAGGCTCCCATCCTTTATCCAGCCTGGTGACTCACACAGAGGCTGGGGGTACCCAGGTACCACCAAGGGCCAGGGATTAAGGCTGCTACAAGGAATAAGGGAATGCCTCCAGCAGCACCACCCAGCCTGCCCAGAGCTGCTGTGCTGCACCAACCCCACAGATAATGGGATCAGGATAAACACAGGCAGCTGCAGAGCTCCTGTGATGCCCACATCCAGCCAAAGGGATGGCACAAGGCTGATGGTGCTCAAATGTTTTCCTGGGCTGCAGTGCTGTTGCCTAAACCAACACCTGCTACGGAAAGGAAGTGCTGGCCCCAGCTTTGGGCCAGGCTGCTCCCTTTCCCCCAACAGGAGAAACCAGCCCCTCTCAAGACATGATCTGAATAACTTCATTGTCATTCACTCTGTTGAAATACTTCACCTAGTACTGCTAGTCAAAATATCACAGTTTTTTTGTGGTTTTTTTTGCCAACGGTAAAAAAATATTAGTTTTACTACAACTATGCAGGTTTCTGTTGAAATGGTTGTTTCTGTCCACTGATTAATTAGGCCCCAGGATGAAAAGGAGAAGTTTATACAGAAGGAGATAGCATGGGAAGTTATCTTCAAAGATGAGGACCCAAGTGTGCACGCTGATAACCACCTTTCCAAAGGCTGGAAGTGAACAGGAACCAGGAATCTACACAATCAACTGGGAAGGTAGGTGAATTAAAGAGAGACTAGTTTTGCTGTTTCCTTGGCATGTTAAGCATGCAGCATGGCAAAGCCTGAGCCCAGCCTTTCTCCTGACTGTCCTTTGCACATTTCAGAGCTGGGTAGGAGAAGGACACAAGGAGGTCAAATTAGAAACCAAATTGGAAAGCAGCGATGTTGTCCTTTGCTTATATCTCAGAACACATCAGTGGGATAAAAGGGAATCTATTATTCACTAGGAAACAAATTCTAGCTCTAACTGCTCCCCCCAGCACCCCTCTTTGGGAGAGCATTGCCAAGGGGGTGGCTCTGGGCTGCTGCTGGGCTCAGGCTCTGCCCAAAGCCTGCTGGCCCAGCCACCTTGCCCACCGTGGCCCTCCTGGCACACTCAGCTCTGCGGGGGGAACAAGTGCACCTGAAAGCAGGTCACCAACCCCTGGGAAAGTGCCAGAAGCAGCACTGTGCTCATCACAGCAGTGCTCCAGCTTGTGAAGGCCCTGAATGCCTCCTGCTGATGAGCTTCTCTGGTCTCTGTGCCAATTCCTGCGCTGGCAGCAGCCTGACAGGCAAACTTGCAAACCACTTCCAAAGAACTCCCCACATTTGTTTCTCCAGGCTGAAGCAAGAAGCAAGAGCTTTAAAGCCTGCTCCCAGACCTAAGTGGGAACTCTAAAGCAGAGCAAAGTCCACTAAAGGGTGCTTTACTTAAAGAGGGAGGAAACAGGAGAAGCTTCCCTGGCTCTCTGTAGGGCACAGTGCAGCTGGGGGCTCCCACAGCAAGCCCTGGCATTGTGCTGGGAATGCTGTGCTCCCTGGGACCAGCTGCAGTCCAGCTCTGGCTGGATAGCTGGAATGTACTTTGCTGGGGTCATTTTCAGCCCTTCCCACTCCTAAAAGCTGTCTGACTGCAGGAAATCTCACAGCAAAGCACTGACCAGGGTCCTCTCTCTGGGCCAAGCTGCCAAGGAGGGTGCAGAGCAGGAGAAGGGATCTTTCCTTTGGGTTGGTTTTTGTTGTGCATTCTGAAAGGGTCTGGTGGGATATCACAAACGACATCAGGATCTCCCAAAATGCATTTGGAAAAGGCACATATACAATAAAGCATACCTCTAACTACACAATACCATATATATATATATATATATAAATGTACTTTCTCAAGCTCTCCAGCTGCCCCACACCACAGGCCATCCACTTTTGTTTTTAAATGCCATTATGCCAAGCTAAGATGTGAATTACTAGCAGAAAAGCCAATTTCATCACCCTTTTCCTAAAATCCCACACTGATTTTAGGTGAATCTGGCAGCCTCCCACATGACATTAAAAAGCACAGCAAGAGTTAAGGAAAGGAATTTATCCAGTGAAGGAACTGCATTACTGTAGCTGCTGCCCTTGGCTGAAATAAGCACCTTTGCTGCAGTTATCTCCAAAGTTTCTCTCTGGAGGAAGGAGTGTCTGTTGTCTGGTTTCTTTCAAACCAGAACAAGCTAGCCCAGGGCCTGGGCAACAGTAATAATGCCCCATGAAAGCCCAGTTTTGAAGAGTTGGGTTTCATTACTGACCTCCAGCCCAACAGCACAAATTTAGGGAAGCCCTTGTAAACAGAAAGAAATTTGCAAACTCTGATAATTGAGAATTTCTTCACCTTGCAGTAAATATACTTTAGGTCCTCATGGCTACTTTGTGAGCTGGGTACTAACATTGTAGAAACCAGTACCACTAAAAATCAGGCCCATTAACCCATTTTAAATCTTCCTCTCTGCTACAAACCACTACAGGTTAATGTGTAGACACCTTTCACATCACATCATAGATGAAAGCACTTTTTAAGGAGAATAAAATTATTTTAATCCCCTAAGTTACTGAGTAAAGAGCAGGCTTGAAAAATGCAATATATTTTGATGTGCACTCCTAACTGATTACAAAGAGAGGTGGCTGTAAAATTAATCAGTCATAACTGCAGATATATAGATAATGCCCTTTGCTCCAAGGATATGGATCACACCAAAAGCAGAATAAGCAGCCACACTTCTCTTTAAATTAATAGGCTTGTAATCCTCTAAACTGAGTCAGAGTATTGCCATTTTTAATATAAAAGAAGCAAAAGGGTTTACTGGCAAAGAAGTGCCCAGATTTTTTTTTTTCTTTCTTTTTTTTTTAAATGAAAATGGGGAATGCTCACAGGAAGCCAACTCTAAATTTGCAAATGTATGTTTCTAACCGGAAACCCAATTCCAAGAATTTCAAAAGAGTCCAATAAAAATCAGCCAGATTTGATTTCCAGCACCAAATACTCAGAACAAACGGATTTAGAGGCCAGGGATTAGCTACTGAAATTCCTAGTACACTATGAATGACTAATGAACTTGATGAAACTCAAGAGCTTTTCTTAGAAATCCAATTCTTGCAGAGAGCAAGCAAGAAAAAACACCCAAAGAAATCTCTGCTGCCCCATTTTGCTCACTTTTGTGAAGGAACAAACTGCATTACACAAAGCTCTCTAATAATTTTCAGTAGGAATTGAATTCTAAAGTACATGTTAATTCAAAATTTTGTTCAAAATTTGAACAAGAATTTAATCTTTCTTATTTTCCTGACTCTAGGATAAAAGTCTCCTGTGAATGTTTAGAAAAGGACATTGATAAGAAAAAATCAATGTCACCCCTCAAGTTTCTTCCTCTCCAAAAAATGTGGTTTCACTAAGACAATTCCCCAGTACTTCTCCAGTTTCCTGTGCCTGTGACATCGGGACATACAGACCTCACCTGCTACTAATAGATCAAGAAGCTGGACTTAACTGAAGCCAGGTCCAAAATCAGTGGGTCTCCCCATGTGATCCTTTAAACACCACAGAATACACCTTACTGGAGGTAGCAGTGAGCCATCGGTGACCCCAAGTGCAGATGAACTGCAGATGTAATTGCAGCCAACTGATCTGCGCATACACAAGAGATTCTCTACCTTTCCCGTACTCTGGTGCTTTCCCAAACAAAGGCAGAAATTTTAAACACTTTTTCCCTAGTGCTAGCGATTCCAAGAAACCACAGCCCAATGTTCTTTTGCTGACCACAGAGGGGAGAACGGAGTGTTTCCCCAGAGACTGAAAGGATTTGCCGGCAACCTCTCTCTCTAGCTTGGCCATGTGTTTTTCTGGAGGCCCAGGAAAGCCCAGCAAGCCTCAGGCCCAAGAACCTTTTAGTTTCCACCTTGTTCTTAAATGACCTTTCCCGCCTCAGCAAATCACCACCACTGTTTTCTTTTCTGAATTTCCAGGCACATCCTGACACAAAGCACGGCCGCCTGCCTCCTAAGCCCACCTCCCTCACTGCAGAGAATCAGCCACACAGAATCAAAGTGATGCCCTCCAGCATCTCCCTGCTTTTCTCCTGCACAAACAAAATTTGGCTGCACCAGGCACAGGACAATGAGAATGGTCCAGAGGATGGCACTGGTTCATTTGCCCCAGTTCTCTCCACATTAGGGTGAAGAAAGAAGGAGGGGGAGGAAGCCAACGACATTAAGAACAATGTTGGGAATAGATCTTTAAATCTGTCTCTCCAAAGCCTGCATATTCCCAGCCTTGATAGGTCTCACATTACACAAGATGACATTTCTCTCCATATTGTATTATAATTAATAGGCTACTGCAAGACTTTACCAGCTCCTACTTAATAGCATTGCAGTGCTGGGAAGCAGTCATCAGGTAATCTGGCCATGATCTACTGTATTCTTTCTAAACACAGGTTCTAGCTGCCAAGAATGTCACCATAAAAAGATTTCAATCAATACCTTTCAGCTCCTACTTTCAAATGCTCCAGGTCTAGGAAGAGAAGAAGAAAAAAACCCCAGTACCCTCAAAACGAACAGCAAACTGGCATATGCATCAAGTGCACAGATTGGAGGGAGCAGATGGGAATTCATTATGGCCTGATCTTGCTCTCTCTTTTATACTTTAGTAACTTTATCCTTTGGAAAAGGTCTCCCCAGGCGCATGGGGACCGTGTGTGCGGAGGGGGTTAAACCCATCCAGATCTTTCCATTCTCAAGCTGTGCTCTTGTTGCCAAACAACAACATTTCAATTGTGATTGGTACAAACAGTTGGGTTTCAATGGCAATCTGTCCTGTAGGTTTAAGCCCAGTTTTTACTGATGCAACTTGCCGGGTGCTTGCTGCCTTTGTTATTTACTGAGAGAGAAAGAAAGGAAACAAAACAGATCAGTGGACTTGTTTTCTTGTCCACTCTGTGTGTCAAGGACTCTCTCTGGAGTGTGCTTCTCCATTTGCTTCCCCTACAGGGAAATTATTAAATTAGGAACAAAAAGAAATCTTTAAGCCCAAATCAATACCCAGCACCTACATCTCCACTTATCCCTTTCTGAAGAAGCAGGGAAGATCATATGTGACCTGTTGGTTTGCTGGCCTTCTGTGCTCTCCAGGAGCCAAGGCTATCCAGCAAAACCTGCTAATACTTTCACCCCTAAATTCAGCAGAATTGATGATGTACAAACAAAAGGAAGTCAGTGGTTCAGCATATTAGGAAGTAAGAAGTCAACAAGAGAAAAAACAGTCAAGGTTGGGATTCTGATGTAGCTGAAATAGTTGGGGCAGTTCCATTAAATTCAGTGGAGCCAAGAGGATTAGTGCTGGCCAAGGATCTGGCTCCTAACGCTTCCCCAGCTGCAAGTCTCAGTTTAGGCTGCTGCCAAGAGGTTAACACTGTGATAGTAGAATGAGAAAGTATTTACATAATTATGTATCTATATATACCTATATTTAAAGAACACTTTTTGCTACTAGCACTTTTGTCATTTTTAAATCCATAATTTTAACCCAAAAGTATTTCTGAAGAGCAGCAGAACCTCTTGAGTAAACTACAGGCTCTCTCACCCACTCCTAGGCCACTTACTGTCCTAGAAGCAAGTTTAAATGTTATTTCTAAATGTTCTTTCTTAAAATTTAGGGTGCAACTAAAGAAATAAGGCTCCCAAGGGTCTCTAAGAAGCCAGTGAGACAACACATAGGCATGGAGTAACAGAATATCAACAATTCTAAAAAAAAGGTGCTTCATAAGTTAAGGAAAAATAAAAATACAAAGCCTCAAACTTACCACAGAAGGCCCTCAGACTTATGAAACTAAACTGCTATAATGTGGTACAGTGTTAAGACATACATTTCTTTTTCTTTTTCTTTTTTTTTAAATTTATTTACATTCTAGAGGGGCAATACACACTGAACCCAGGAAAACAGCTCACCCTTGAAAGTAATTTTGAGAGGAATATTGACTTTGATTCATGCTCCTAACTCCCTACCAGTTTTGCTTGAAAAATAATTGTTCATTCTGCAGAACAAAGTTCCCCCCCTTTCCTCCAGCCACCGAAAGCTCGCACCGTATCTTCACATTAGAAAAAGGCTCTCCTCTGAAATGTTTCTACCTATCCCTCTGAAATTCCAAATGAGTGGCATCTTGTTGGGACTTGAAAGCACCTGGCATGGTTGAGTGACATCCCAAGAGAGGACATGGTGTACAACTGACTGACACGGACACAGATTGCCTTCCAATACCCACAGCAAGCAAGGCGGGTCACTCCCCGAGAACTGATTGCCACAACAAACCCCTCTTTTTATCCATTCCCTTCCTTCTCTCCACTCTTAAGCTGGGCAGAGCAAATGAGGTTGGGTCCACAAAAAATAAGGTTAATAATAATAATTAAACAACGGCAACAACGACAACAGCAACAACAACAAAATAGGCGTCTCAATGTCTGAGGAAAAGTGGGATTGTAAGTGCAGTATTTCTTCATGTGCAGTTCTTGTACTTCATAGGAGTCCCCTTTGGATGAGAAGGCCTAGCGGAATGTGTGCTCCCCCCGGACTATGTGCGACGAGAACTCATAGCGGTCCTGGCTCCGGTAGCCACAGATGTTGCACTCCAGCGGGTCCCGGTAGCCGTGGCAGCCCATGTGGATGGTGTACATGACATGGTCCAGGAAGAGGACGCGACAGTGCTCGCACTTGAAAGCCCTAATCTGCTCCCCTTCTCCATTGATCACCTTGTACATATCCTTTAAAGAGCCCTTAGAAGCTTTTGTGACATCCAAAGGCTTGGCCTCCTCCTTCACGTAAGCCGGGTTTGGCTTGATCTTGGGGGTTAAGGCAGCGTTTCCTGGGTAGGACTGGCGGTCGTCGTGGCTGCTGTCTGAGTCAGTAGAATCCAGGCAGCTATTGCTGGGGGAGCCCTCTCTATCCTGGATTCGACTCTTTGGTCTGATGAGGGAGATGGGGCCATCCATGTTGTTCTCGTGGCTGTCAGCTGTTTCCCTGCTGATGGGCCTCTCTATCCTGCTGGGATGATAGACCTGAGCGTAAGCTGAGCTGATGACCGGGGCCACCTCTGCGATTGTGCTCGGTGTGTGCTGCATCAGGGGGTGAAGTGCCTCAGCTCCAAGGTAGGTGATTGCATTGGTGATGGCTTGGTCCATCATGTGAGACTGCATCAGCTCAGCCTCCTTGTCATAGCTTAGGTTCATATCAAAGGGGATATCTGGATAGCCAAATCTCATGAACTTTTCACCTAAGAGATAAAAGCAAATCCATGAGCAAAATCAACACAATCACGACAATGTTTCACTGCAAAAGAGACAGAAACCTCCTGACTTGGGGTGAAATTACTCCAGAGTCTAAAGTTAACCTCCTTCAATTTATTACTAAACAGTTCCTGTCCTGAGATGGAAAACCAGTAATCTCACCAAGAGCTTTCTTCTTTTCTTTTTTAAATTTATTCCAGGTGAAACATGTGGCTGCAGCATCTTCCAGAGAAATTACAAATCTTCAACTGAGCCTGATTGTGCCCTCACTTCAAGTTAGGAAACACAACTGGATTGAAATATTGAGACCACTGAAGTTCTATTCCAGAGTATACCATTAGTTCTGGTTACCAGAGTATACCACTGAAGTTCTGCCATTAGACATATTCTCCCCAAAATTCAAGAGACTATTTCACACGTGGCCCACAATCTGAGGTGCCTCACACCTACCAAACAACAGGGATGAGCAGTGAGAAACCCAAACAACAGGTAAAGGGGGCTTGTTATAGTGGCACCTTTAGAGCCACAGGATGTAAATCCTTTAACCAGCAGAAAAAAACTCCAAACATAAAATGACAGCATGTGCCCAAGAATGAAGCCATTTACAGGAGCAGAGGAGCCTCATCTTTGCAGCTTTCCTCCCTCAAAAAAAAAAAAATTCCATCCTTTTTGGACTGAGAAGAAAAAGACAACACACACTGCTCCATTCCCAGTGTCTAATTAAGTAAGAAAATAAATAGAGAAACCAGGTGTATAGCTTTGTTTCACTAGGTAAAAGACAAAAGCACCTTTCACTGACACAGGAAAAATTTACACCTAATGATGCTGAAGCTGGCTGGTTCATCCCTGTGAATCCTCACTCACATCCTTGTAAGCTTTTAACATCAATGGCATGACAGATGTGCAAAACCAGAATCACATGCTGGTGCATTATGGCAGTCACAGGGTGATGTTACACATCATAGCTCTCCTTGGAGTTAACAGACTGACCACTGCTTCCACCAGGGCTCAGCTCAGCAGCACTGCTTTTCCAGTGATGGCTTTGGGGAGTCAAAGCTCATGGAACAACTTCTTTTTAGAAAGAAAAGGCTATATGTACATGATACAAGATGCACATGCTCCTCTGTGTTCACACATACAATTAGCTGGTTGTTGACAGCTAATTTTTAAAGCTGATTTTATGAAGTCTGATAAATAATTTTGGTTAGTTTTAATTGTCTTTGTTACTTCACTTCCTTGGTACATAAAACCAGACTTTTTTCCCAGTAGCATAAGTTAATATATTCAAGAAGTCACTACTTACAAGTGGTTTGGCTACTCAAGAATTAAATTACTCAAGAAGCTTCTTCTATCACCTTTTGCCAAAATTGCTTGGAACACAGTCTGTATAAACCACTATAAGAAACAGAACTGTAATCCCAAATCTCTTCCAAATTGCATTAGTACATTTCAACACAGCTATCACTCAGCATTTTATTTTTGACTATAATAATTCATTCCACTCAGAGTGACTTATTCTAAAGTGATGCACAGAGAAGAACCATGATGTCCTCAGAGATGATGATGCATCACTTCTGCTGGGGAACTTAGCCCTGATTATCAAGGTAATTAAATGTAAGTCTGAAGTGAAGCACATGAATATTCCTCCTCTGTTCAGCAAAACTGCCAACATGGCTGGACACCATACCACATTTGTGTACCTATGATGTGTACTCAATGATGGTCCTGGTAATCTGACACGACTTGTGGATGATTCTTGCCATCAAACATCCTCCTTTCAGTGCTTTGCTGTGGTCTGGGAGCCTGTGATGGCTGTGCTGCCACAGACAGGATGGACAGCTCTGCAACTGGACACTGTCTGGTGCCCACTGGTGCCTGTCACCTGCTCTGGCCTCCTGTGTCATTCTTGTGTTTGGATAAAGAAGTAGATCTGGTGAGGGTCTGATCCAGCTCCCAAACACACTGTCAGTCCTTTGTAGGCTTTACAGATGAAGAAATATTACCCATCCTTTATGGGCTACTTGCATAAATGATGCAAACCTTATTTTGATTCCTTTCATCATCCATGTTTAGTTACTCCAGCACAGACAGCAAAGAAAGCTGTAAATTGCCAGTGACCTGAATTATTTATTCCTTTAATTATGAACCAGTTCCAAAGATGCCAGAGTCTGAGAAATGGAGTGTGACATAAAAAAGCAAAATAAATGATAACATGGGAAGGAGAAGGCGTAAAATGCAGAGCTCAGAAGTAACAATAAATGGTCCAATAGACCAGTACAATGTGGTTTCCAAATTAAATTCCTCTTTAGCCAATTCTGTACTTAAAATCAGTTAATCAGCCCAATCATTATGAATTTTCATTTAAACTATGCTCAAACTCTATTTATCCTTGCCCTACATTAGTGAAGCAGAAGAAAAAACTTTCTCCCCTCTGGCTATATGACATTCAAATAAACCCCTAAACAGGTATTTGAAGCTAGATCAAAGCACACAGGCACAGCTGTCCTGTGATACCTGGAGTTCATCTCATCAAGTCTCTAAAGCAGCTGCAGTGCTGGACACTTGGGAGAAAGCTACAAGAAACCTTGGAGGAGGCTGTTCCAGCATTTCCCCCTGGGGAAGTTTCTCCCTGACCCCCATTAACCAGAAGCTGAGTGTAATTTGGCAGCCGGCTGATCTTCATCTGTTCTGAGATGCCCGTGTATTTTTAATTCTTACTCTAACAACCATGGTCTTATCGTAAGCCACATAAATGTCTCCTTTTGCATCCTGCCAGTTCTTAACCTCGGTGACATTCTGAGAGGAAGCTCCAAATTTCAACTGAAAATACATGAATCTGCTTCACATGATCAGCCTGAAGACGGCAGCTTTTCATTTAACCGGTGTCTGCCTCTCCCTCATTGAACAAGAAGCAAAATGAAGTACTCACACTCCTGCACATCAGAAATTTTCCTTTCTCTGGAGTGTGCCTCCACTATTTCAGCTGGTTTGGTATGACTAGTACTTCAAGAGCAGATATATAACCAAGTCTCTCATGCAGAAATGAATTCATTCTATTTGCTGTACACTGCTTCCTTTCCTCCTGAAAATTCAGCCATTGGAGAGACTGTGGTCCATAACCACAGTCCCTTGGAGATTGCTGATCAGAAAGAGCAGTAAAGCACTGATAGATGTAGCATGCAAAGATTTTAGCTTATGCTTACATGACCTTCTCATAAACACCATTAAGTTGTTTTGGACAGGTGCCATGCTTGCAGTATGCACAGGAAAATTTCCTGCAAGCAACAGAACCATTACACATTCTTCCTGATAGACCTGAATAATATTTAATTGGGGAGAAAAGGGGAAGAAAAGTGAGGTCATGGTGGAGGGGAAGAAAAATAAAAAGAAAGGCAGCCAAGTGAAGTCTGCTGTTATTTAATCTAAACACTGTGATGCCACTAAAGATCAGAAAAATAAGATATGGTAAAAATGAAAGGGGGTACTTTTTATCCTACATATGGCTAGTGATATGTTACTAGATATTAGATAAAAAAAGGATTGATTTAACAACAAAGTATACAACCTGCTGGAAAGAATAATTATGTGGTATAGCATCTCTCAGGCAGAAATTTCCAATCAGTAAATTTACCTCTGAACACAAGAACGACATATGGTCAATGGTGCATGAGTGGACAAGTAAAGTCACCTTTCTGGTCTAAACACATACCAACATAGGAAATACTGATGTCTCCCAGCATTCCCCATGTGGGATGGATCATTGCTGGCCTAACCTGGGCTCAGCACTGATATTTGGGAATGGCCAGCTGACTGAGAGCAGCCAGGTCAGTGTGTCAGCCCCTGCAGGTGAGCTGCTGCACACTGCTGGCCCCCTGCTATTCCAAACCATGCAGCTTACTTACAGCCACCTTCAGGGGGGATTTAACTAATCCATCTGAATCTCCATTTAGCTGAGGGGCAACAATTTTTCTAAATGGCTGTGCTAATTACTTACAGTCCTGTGATGCTCTCTGTAAGTGTCCTCAGAGTAGGCAGAATGAGAGACCCTGAAGTTGTGTGTGACTGCCCTTCAGGGAGTGAGTGTGGAGAACTCCTATTACGTGACTGCAGAGTCTGACACTTACCCCAAACAATTCTCTGTTCCAGCTTCCCTCCTAAGAAGTTTTGCATTGCTTCAGTAGCAGTAAAAAGAAGCTTTAAGTTACAGCTAAAACCAAGTAAAATTCTCTATATTGTCACCTGTTACAAGCTGAATAATTTTAATATGTCAAGACACAAAGTAAAATATGAATTTTTGGCCTAGGATTCTAAATCTGGTAACCAAAAGCCACCCAGTGCTGTTTCTTATTCATGCATTAATAAGTTTATTGTGTGCAGAGTGCTGCACTCAGAGCAAGAACTTCTTCCAACACAAGGGATGTGACTTACTTCCTCATTCCAGTATTATCAGACCAAGTGTCAGGAATTTAATACAAATTAGAAGTCTTGAGATACTTGTTGTTTGTTTTTTTAACACATATGGAGACAGATAATTATATGACAGTCTTAGCTTGTTTTTGTTTTTCTGGAGCAAGGAGAGGGAAGATGACAAGTCTAAATCTCAAAAGGGCTAGAGAGAAATTTTAAAAAAACCCACAAACAAAACAGCGTGAAGTAGAAAGCTCAAGCTTTTCTCAGGCATTCTCATGATAGTGGACTTTGCTTTTGAATTCTCTGGACTGGTAAAATGAATTCAATAATTTTCACGATTTCTTGCAGTGATTTAACCACCTCCATTGCTGTATCAGAACCAAATTGTGAGAGTGCCACTTTTCCCCTTGTTCTTCTGGCTATTACAAACAGCACATAACCCATAGCAATGCATTAAAAAGAATAAAAGGCTCATTTCCAGCTTACCCACAAACTTTTGTGGGGTGGAGCTTTTACGCTTTCCCATGTTGCTTGACAGCTTCTCTATAACAGCAGGTCTCTCAAAAGGCACCACAGAAATATTGTTGTCCATCACAGGCTCTTGTTCCTTACAATCTTCCAGAGCAGGTACTACATAAAACCAAAAAAAAATTGGTATCAGACAGGTCTGGTCTACACTTCACAGAACACAAATAATTGAGCCCTGCTGATTGTGCAACAAGTGCAGCACAACATAAAGCAAGGTGTGAGAATATTTTGGGCATCAAGACAGCAGTCACCTGTAAGCAGAGCCACATTCACAAAACATCTCTCCTTGGGAACATTTTATTTAGCAGAAATCCAAATTTAAGCATTTATTAAAGGGCTTGTTTTGTTCTGGACACTCATTATCACCAGTGAGGAGAGGACACTTTTGAAAACTCACTCTGTAAGTGACATTTTGTATTACTCTCTCTTCAATATGGTCACCTGTCAACAATGTAAATCTTTAGTTATCATTCTTTGTGTATTCCCTGCACACATACAGCATAATTACTCTCAGTATTATCTTTTTGCACTAATCTCAATGATTAAAAATCACACACGGCATTGATGAGCCCTGTTTGCTGGGCCTGGCTGTGTGTTCCCTAAGACAAAGGGTTCTCAAATGAAGGATCAGTTTGCTAATGCATATTTTCTCTCTTCACAATGTAATGAGACTGTAAAATCAACACACACTGTACTGGAATTGCAAGATTAACATCACATGGAAATTCCCTTCAGAATCAGACACAGAAACTACCCATTTTTTGATTAATATTTTATCCCCTCAAGCACAGATCTAACTGTCTGCAAACAGAGGTTTTCTGCATCTCACTTCACATCATCAGGGAGCAGGGATCAGCAGGGAGCATTCCTGCGCTAACTACATCAGGGGGAATGCTCATACACTGTATTTGAGAGAAGCCAAAAAAATCAATAACTTCTTCTGTCTTTACTCATTTCATTCCTGACATTTGTCAGTTTAGGGAATAAGGATCCAAGGGAAAAATGTAGGAATTGCACAGGCTTCTAACCAGAGGAGTGAGCCACTTGCACAGGGATTTATGCCTTTTGCTGATACAGCCATTCTTAAGCACCTACAAAGTACTTTGGTTTTGTTGAGCATCCTCTTCTAATCATCCCCTTCTAATCAGTGGTAGCAGACTGTGGATCAGGCCTGGAGAATCTCAGTCATTTGCAATATCTATCAAGTGTGTAGCTCTGCTCTGCTGTTATGAGTTTAATACCAGGCCTTATTATCCTGCATTCATCCTCAGAAGGTGACGAGAAAAACTTGAGAGGGATCAGCCACTAGGGCATGTGCTAATGGCATGGTTGGGGTATATAGAGAATAGATAGCAGAAATGGATGGCAGAAACACAGGAACTGGGGTGATGTGGCACAGAGTTCCCACAGGATGTAAACTGAGAGGAACCCACTGCATTTTCTGTCTTAGCTCAGGCTCCCAGCAAGGTGCTGGGTATTGCAGAGGTGGCAGAGAAGGCCTGGCACCCTCCTGTTCTGCCAGCCCTCCTCCTGTCTCTCACCATGGCAGCCTTTTGTGTCACAGACACCTTCTCCCAGACAGTGCCATAAATGAACACCACCAGCCCACTTTCCTCCCGTGGGAACTGCACTACCTTCAGCATCCTGGCATGGAATAATCACCCCCCTGTTCCTAAACACAGCTGTTTGCTAGCACATAATACACCAAAAATGGGTGATAAAAGCCTTGTCTCTGCCTTCTTTCTAGTAAGGAAGAGCAAATACCAGGCAATTACAAAACAGAGTATCTGCTCAGGTGAACTTCTCAATTCAGACATCCATAATAAGAAAACATGGCAATTTATTCATTTGATTCCATTTGTGCCTCTGCTGCTATGGAAAGCTGAGCACTTTGAGGCTTAGAATCTACCATATGCTGTAAAATGATTTACTCTGCTGCTTTTTTATTTGTACAGGATGCTCCCCCTGAGAAACACAATGGTTTCTCATTTACAAGGCAGTCCTGCTGGCATCACTGAAAGGGAGGAGAAAAAAGCATAAATATGAAATGAATCTAATGTTGCAACAAAATGGGATGCAGTGTTCAAGTGACCTAATTAATGCCCAGTGCAGACTGGGAGGCCTGGAATATTTTAATAGCCAAGGGTAAAGTTTTAAGGTTAATTAAATACCCTGCTTGGTCAGGAGATATGTGCACTACTCAAGTATTTACCAAGGAGATTTGGGCAGAAATAAAAGATGATGTCTGCTGGTTTTCACTGGGAACTGGCCTCTGACTGTCCTTTTTGGCTTCCCCAGGCCCAGGGGATGCAAGCACACAGGGTGTGAATCCTGGGATGTGACAGCCAAGGGCCATGTCCTCCCAGGTGCCACTTCAAGGATTTCCAGCCCTTGGTGCACAGGACACACAAGGCTGGTTGTGTGGGACTAGGAAGCAGCTCAATCCCACCTAGGAACACCTCTGCAAAGCATCCTGAACCAGTTCAAAGCTCCTGATTATTTTAAAAGCCATCTGAATAAGCCCCAAATGTAGTGACATTTGTGTGGTCTTATAACAATTAAGTAATAATTAAATAATTCTGCTGCTGGGCATATGTGTGTAAAATTTCCTACACATAATTTGAAACCTTTCTTCCATGAAAAATGAATAGTGCTAAAAAAGACATCTGCTCTTCTCTAAGTCAGGCAAAAATCCTGCTTGGACTCATTTTAAAACTAAAATCATCAACAATAAAAGCATTTTGTTTTCCATCTTTCATGCTGAAGGTACTTTTTCCCACGTCAGAACCCAAGTCTATAATCCAGGGCACTTCTCTTTTGCAACAGAATCACTGAATCACACTAATATTTGTGTTATGATGGAAATAAGTTACCAGAGTGTGTTTTGTTATGCAGATTTTCTGGGAGAAGGGAAAGAAGGAAATAATCTAGTTTCTGAAACCATTTAAACAGCGGGCAAAACTGGACCAAACAGATGAGATACCACATTTCAGAAACACTAGAAGTTAAATATCACATTAACAATTCTAGATATATTAATTTTCATTTCAATTTAAAAAAACACACAAATAAAGGACACATAGCCCAGTCTGCATTTTTTTTTTTAAGGAAAAACAAAATAAGAAAGAGGGAAACCAAACTGATCACACACAACCACCAGCTCTCAACAATCAGCTGCTCTGTAGTAGAAGCTCGTGTACACATTTACTCAGCAGTAAATGCAATTCCTTTTTTGTTGTAGTACATCCTACTTCATTACCTTGAACAGCTGACAAGATATAACTAGCTCAGATACAGCAACTCATTTTATGCTGAGCATTTACAGTCTCAGCTCAGGAAGACTTTTTTATTCTAAAAATCCAACTTTCAGCGCAGGAAAAGCCCACGCTTGAGTGTGTTTCTGTTCAGGGATGTTCTTCATCAGCTGTCAGGGTGTGCTGCTGGACTGCCCATGGAAGGGTTCACTGCCCCTGACATTGTCAACACTCAATTGTAATTAATACAAAGTATCGTTTCCGAGCTAAACTTTGAATTCATAAACTTGGATAGTCTTCAGAACAGTCTTTCTTTTCCTGAAGACACTGTTGTTTCAATCATAGTGAATATCTTTAATTTTTACTTCTTAATTTTTAAGAAACTACATGAACTATTAAAATAGTTTATGCTGTACCAGTGAGGAAAGAATAGGGGAAAAAAAAAGAGAAGCAAAAAAATTACCCAGTGTGTGTTTTGCTGATAAATACTTTGTGTGCAGACACCAGACACTGGGCTAAGTCTCAGCTGGTATAAATTAGTATTACTCCATCAACCTCAATTTCCTTTCTGAGGCTCACAATATTGCTATTTAAAAGAAGTGTGTGTGTGCAGAGAAATGACAGGAAATATTCCCATGGACCCTGGTGGGAAGTGTCCTGTGGGACCAGCATTTTAACGATGTTTTAAGCAACTATGTAAGAGGGAAAGACACAAGGCCATTGTGTGTTTTATGTGGAGCTGGCCTTTGAGCCTCACAGCCTAGGGCTAGGCTTCTTTCTCCTTCTCCTGAAAAGAGTACCCCTCTCCATTCCTGGAAGAATTTCTCTGGACTTTTGGCTTTGTGGCAGTGGAGAAGAAGATAGAACTGGGTGCAAACCTTAGCTAGCCTTCAACATTTCTCCCTGTTCTTTCCTGCAAAGGGCACGTTCTTGGCATGCAGGGACTGTCCCTTTTGTCACCCCCACCACACTGCAGACTGATTTCTCCTTCCAGAGACAGCAGTGCTTAGCTGAACAATTTCAACAACAAAATCATGGGATCTCTCTTGCAGCATCTGTCCTGCTGAGCAGGGAACAGGAACACAAGGAGGGGCAGCTCGACAGGCAACTGGCATCCTGCAAGAGGATGGAGCAAGACCCAGAGATTTGTATGTTCCTACCCAGCCCCCAAAACCAGCCCTCCTTCCCCCTCTCTTGTTTCCCCTTGTGGCTTCAGTCAGGTGATCCAGCCATCTGCAAGACAGAGATAATTGAAAGCACCAAAGTAGATGTCTGTAGCATGCCTGTAAACTGATGGGCTTGAGCACAATGCTTGAAAAAAATCCAAACCCTCTAGGGGCTGCTTCCAGCTTTCTGGAACAATTAGTCTCTGCAGAAATAATTTGGATCAATGCTTAGTGTTGGCCAATGCTGGTGTTGTTAAATTAGGAGGAGCAGAATGCTGGTAGCGATCAGAAAATCCCCACATCTCCCTGTTCTGTGTACAATGGTGAAGTTGTGAGCAGGAGTCACACCAAAACACACTCCAATGCTTCAAAATGCCCAGCAAAAACAAAACACCAAGTATTTGGAAACAGAGTTAGGAAAGCTCACCCCAGTGGGATGCAAAATAAAAGTCTCCAAAATATACTCTTAGTGATCCCTCAGGAATATCATTTCCATGTGTGACATGGGAGACAAGGAAATGAATACAGATTTTTCAGGCTTAGTATAAGGCCTAACATTAAGCTGAGTAACCAATTTTTTATTCTCTTCCCTGGTGTCTTTGCAGTCCTGGGAAAAAGGATTTGCTGCAGACCTCTACAGGCTGGTGCTCATGACCCTCATGCTGAACTCACTGTGTGAGTGGTGCTGGGATTTCTGACTGGTCCCAGCTGAATCTGGAGCTCCCTGTCACTGTCTATCCTTGCTGTGCCTTCTCTAAACAACTAAAAGGAAGACACTGGATCAAACATTCCCTTAAACTTTCACCAGGGGAGGCACAGACATATTTGCCCAGAGGAGAAAGAGGCACTGGTTGAATTTAAAGTGCTGCTTTAAGCTAATTTTGTTGAGAAAAGTGAAGTGGTTGTGTGAACACTTCTATTTTGAGCCCAAGCAAAGTCAGTCAAGCTGTAAATAAAAGAACTGTCCACATGGGATTTGCACTGGTTTAACTTCAAGTGGTAGAAAAATCAATGCAAGGTCAATCACTGCAGCTTCTCTGGGCAGACAAGGTTAAGGACTTACCCTTCTTGTCATGGCATTGGGCAGCTTAGAAAAAAGCTTTAGATTTACACAGAAATTTTAATCAATTTAATTTATTATTTTAATAAATAACTAATGGAACTAATGAAACCAGACATTGAGCAGCATTTGGGAAGCTCCTCCCAAATCTCAAACATCCTGGCTGTCAGAGGTGTGGGCAGGCTCCCGTAATTCCCTAAGGAAAGGCTGGCTGAAGGCATCTGTCCCTGGTTAACAAGCACAAGGAGTGGGTATTTTCTTGGGAATCGATTCAGTGGATCAACTGCTACCTCACTGACCCAGCTCACAACAGGTACCTCCAGAGCAAAGCCCTGAAATCTGCCTTTTCACTGACTTTTACCAAAAAAAGCCACCTCAGGCACATAATCACTCGTGTCAATATCTTTAAAACATCCATGACATTTTAAATGTTGACTTTAGTCTCCAGGGTGTCTAGAAAGAGAGCAATTACTTAATAGAGCTGTATGAATATTTTGGCAACATGTACTAAAACTGTCTAATGTGCCTTTATAGGCCTAAATTGATCATGGGAAAGTACTATTTTAAATTTTTTGGAGACTTCTGTCACCAAAATACAGCCTATAGAAGCAATGCTGAATAGATTTTATTTCAGCTTGCATTTTCAGGGTTTTAAGAATTATTTAAAAGAAATTATTTCCAGATTAAGCCCAATGTCTCCACTCAGTCATGATAAGCAAAATGAAAAAAAAAAAGCAAGTGTTTTTTTCATTTACCTTTTCACTTACCCACAAACTAACTTTTTTGGTATTTGTAGGTATATGGTAATTTTAAATTAAAATGTAAAACATTCCATTTTTACATTTTTTGAATAGTAAAATATTAAAGTCTTCAAGTATCAAACATCTAAAGACAAGTTTGAAAAGTTAAAAGGAGTTCAGTTGTAGAAGAGTTTGTGAGACACTAATTTTGAATAAAATTATAACTGTTTTTGGACAGCTACCATTTAGCATTTAGTGCTACAGATAAGCCTTCAACCCTGTAGTCTGAGACATTATGCTCATTATCCATACTAATAACTCCAGAAATTTCTGAAAACAAATTCACAGAGTTTGACATTTCTTGCTTTCAACAATCTTTTTGGCAATCTTCAGCCCTTATGTATATTAACACATGCAGTGTTAGTTAACATATTAATACCAGCAAATGTAAATGCATACAAACATTTTTTTTGTTACAATTACTTCTTACAACACTATTGAATTCCATTCTGCTCTAGAGATTTTTACATCCATCCCTCCCTTTTTTGTAGGCATAAGATAGAATTCTAGAGGGTAAAAATAATGACTTCTGAATAACTCTGCCATCCTTATCTTTTCTAATTATCACTCACTATCAGAAAGGAAGGAGGAGAGAATCATACATTTTATACATGTCACTCCCAGCATTAGAAGGACATGGAGCTGTTGGAGCAAGTCCAGAGGAAGCCTTGGAGATGCTCCAAGGGCTGGAGCTCCTCTGCTGTGGAGCCAGGCTGGGAGAATTGGAGAAGAGAAGGCTCCAGGGAGACATTAGAGCCCTTCCACCACCTAAAGGGGCTCCAGGAGAGCTGGAGAGGGACTTGGGACAAGGGATGGAGGCACAGGACAAAGGACAATGGCTTCTCACTGCCAGAGGGCAGAGATAGATGGGACATTGTGAAGAAATTCCTCCCTGTGAGGGTGCTGAGCCCTGGCACAGGCTGCCCAGAGAAGCTGTGGCTGCCCCTGCGTCCCTGGGAGTGTCCAAGGCCAGATTGGATGGGGCTTGGAGCAACCTGGTGTATTGAAAGGTGTCCCTGTTCATGGCAAGGGGTTGGAAACTGGAAGGTCTTTAAGGAGCTTTCCAACCCAAACCATTCTATGATTCTATGACATGACTTTTTGGGTAATTTTGAACAGGTGACTTGGCTTTATTTTCGTGTCTGCATGTGTGCACATACTAAAAAGTGAAATACTGACTTAAACAAAATAAGCACAAATAGGGCTGTTAAACTGGACAGAGTGAGGATTTCAGCCCATCTTTTTTTTCTCCTCCTGCCTCTCTGAGTGTCAGCAATCTCTGAGATGGAAGCGATGGAAAGGAAGGAAGAAGAAGAGATGGAAAGAAAGCCGCACAAGCCGCTCCGCGTCCGACGGAGCTCTGGAGGCGGTTTGCACCCACCATGGTGACTCATGACCTGCCCAGCAGCCTCCAGACTGACATTCTGCAGGTAGTTGTGGCAGCGTTCCTTGTGCTCCTCCAGAGAACTGCGCTGCTTGTAGCTCCGGCCGCAGTAGTTGCACTTGTGAGGCTTCCCCACTGCGGAAAGAATGAGAGCACGGGGTCAGATCCATCACCAGAGCTCACACCTCCGCCACAGCCAACTCTTGTGATGGAAACACACCTGAGAAAGGTTGCTCGAGCCCCAGGTCTGTCTCCCNGGGGTCAGATCCATCACCAGAGCTCACACCTCCGCCACAGCCAACTCTTGTGATGGAAACACACCTGAGAAAGGTTGCCCGAGCCCCAGGTCTGTCTCCCGGGCCCGTGTTCCCACCGCACACGCCTCCTCCCACCTGCCAGGTGCTTTGCCCCATCCGTTTTTCACACTGACGCTGTAGCAGCAGAAGGAAAAGGAGGCGGCCTCGGTGGCAAAGCAAATAAACAGATGCTGAGAGGGGGGAAAATACCAAGCAGCTGAATCACACCCCAGCACCAAGTCTCGTGGGAAAGAAACTTCTGAGGCCTTTGGCCCTTGGCACAGCTGCTGTCACAAAACTGAGCTGCCCCAGTGGCCTAATTCTTCTCCCAACTGTGGGGAAACCTATTACGTGGCTCAGAGTTCTTTCATTGAGGACACTTTGCCAAAATTACTCAGGGAGGGTTGGAAAATAAATTGAAAGTAACTTTGGTAACAGCACTGCTACGTGCCAGAACTGAACAACCACCAGTAATTCAGAGACCGAATAACATAAAAAATATATATAGCATAAATATATATACATAAAAATACAAAAAGCCATGTACAATGAAAATCAAGCCAGATGAATGCAAGACGTAGCTCAAGTTTTTTATCTTTTTCATTTTGCTCAGCAGCATTAAACACAAACGGCAAATGCTTCTTAATACACGCAAAACCTGGCACCAAATTCTCATAAATTATATCCATTTCATAGTATGTCATTAAGAAACCACAAGAATGGCCTAGCCCAAGGCCAGAAAGCTAGCCAGAAGGTATTTTGCCAAGTGGTGCTAATAAAGGCTTTTAATATAATTTAAACTTGTAGAACATGAACATTTATCCTCTAATAACTAAAGAGCTATTAAGTCAGTGCTGCAAGTCTAGTAAAACACCATTGGCTGCAAACTTCAGAGCTGGCTGAGGGAAAGGGAAGGTCAAACTTCTTCCAGAGTTTTGAAAATCTTAGGTAAGAATTTTAGTTTCTGGCCAAAGGAATTGAGAACATCCTCTGTTGGGTAATCTACATGTTTCTATTGGGTTTGTCCCAATATTGAAAGCTTTTCAGAGTAATTTACTTAATGAAATCTGAGCTGTACTAATTGCAGCCAAACTGCATCATCACCACTGGGATAGGGGAATGCAGCAAAGCCTATGGGGGAACAGGCACAGCCAAGAATGAGCTGGGCAGAGGGCTCAAACATGAAAAAAGGAATTTGATGAAAAGAACATGCTTGCAGAAAGTTTCAGGTTTTCCCAAAAAGTTTGCATGCATATTTTAGTGGCACAATCAAGGGGAAAAACCCTGCTTTTAATAAGTATCCAAACTGTGGATTTCTTTGTTTTGAGACAAGGCTTATCCTCAAGAAAGTGTGTCTTAGACCAAAGAGTTGTTGTGGCCCTCATTTTAGTTTGCTCACTTGCTTACACTGTTGCCATAACTGATGCTGGTAATGGAATTCTCAGTGGAGGCCCAGCATGAGGCTCATTATCATTCCCAGAATAATTGCCCTTGATGTGAACGATGTGGATCGAGCCCCAGCTCTTAAACATAAACCAGCCAGTTCATTCTGGAGGCACCTTTAGGAAAACACACCAGAGGTTCCCCAGGATGGAGAGGCTTCTGTAATCACCATTACAATGCTGCATTGGGCATCTAGATGGCATCAATGTCTGTCAGTCTGACACCTTCATTAGAAGCCTATGTGGTGTCTAATGAAAAAATCCAGTGCAATGGAAGGAATTATGTTAACTGAGCTGAAGCAGGGCTGAATTAGCCCACCCAGTTTGGCTACATTAAGCTATCAAGCAACTTAGATAAACTGTAAGGCACAAGGAAAAGGGGTGATTGCTTGCAGCTATTTTAGGCAGGTACAATTAATTACATTATTATCATTTAACACAGAGAGAAATATTCTGCTACAAGCTCATATTATAAAAAATTAATAATTAACAGTCAAAAAAGAGGTTTTATTAGACCTCTTCAAATGGTTGCTCCCTACATTGCAACCATTTCAGTAACTATTCACATATAACATGGCAGAGTTTTTCCAGTGATATCTTGGATGGTCAGCTACCCAAATTCCATCAAATTTGAAGGTTAATGGAGAGGATAAAAGTTAATGATAAAGACATGATTTCTACAGGCAATATGGGATTTGAGGAACATAATTCCTCAAGGAAAGGAAAAGGGCCTGTACACACTTTCTCTTCTCTGGGGAAAAGATAAGAGAATAAACAACATGTGGCAAATGTTGGTCATGTTGCTTAATACACAGCTGCGAAGAATGAAGTTTGTGAGCATCAGTTGAGTTGTATCAAGCACAACTCCCTTGGGTTCATTTCCCAACTCTGTCCCCCCTGGCTCTAGAGCTGCAATCACATCCTAGCCCCAGAGGTGTAAAATATGACACTATAAAGTGACACAGAGATTTACACTATAAAATTACACAGAGTGACTGGGACTTGTGTTGAAGAGCAATTGATCAGGTCAGACCACAATGGAATCAGTTCTGATAGCAGGAGTTTGTGTCACCAGCAATTCTCACAGCCCGTTTGCTAAGAGGTTCAGTGAGCTGAGGCAGCAATTACAGTCAACATTTTAGAAATTGTATCATTGTGACAAATGTCAAGCCACTGAAAGAGCTGCAAATATCCCCTTGTATTCTCAAAGAAGTTAATGACAAAAAAAAAATAGAAATGGAAGTGAATGTTGCCAGTGGGTGTACATTTCTATGTATTTCATATTACCTGATAGAAAGCTGCAAAAGCCTTTTAGAGAATTCAATTTCAGTGATAACCTCAACAACATACTTTGTTCCAAATAACAACCTGACATGAAACCTCATGACTGACGAAAAATATTTCAGCCTTTGTCAAATACTTGAGTGTAGGTAAACAGCAATATTCAAAATTTTGCCCCCAAAACATGTAGCTCAGACTGCTGGGCATAAGCAGTGTCTGACTAAAGGGCATTGAGGGGAAGGAGTCCAACGGCACTATATCTACCAAACCCCTCTCAAAACCCCAAGAAACTCCTTTCAAATCTAAAGAGAGTTTCTACCACAGAGCAGAATGGCTCTTTCTGCCTCAGAGCCATTTGCACTGTGAAACCACTCCAGGTTTGCTTGATTTGAAGCTGCCTTCTCCAAGATCCACACGTACACGGACACCACGTTCGGCATCACACACAACCATCTCTTGCCAAGCAAAGTCAGGCTGGAAATGCCTGGTTTGGGGTAATTATTCTGTTATCAGCTTTTCAGGATCAACAATCAGATAAAAAATCACCGTCACTTACTCTCACAAAAATGACACAGTCAATGCAAGCAAGCCCAAAAAACTTGAGAAATCTTTGATCTGTTGTTGAACTGGGAAAGACCAGAGTGCTGGGCAAAACCCAGCGGCCACACCTATGAAACAGCCAACTTGAAGAACATAAAAAACCCACTTTATATTTCTTACTGAAATGTCAGAATTTCCACACATTTAAGCTTAGATTTGGACAGATGACAACATGGCACAGAAAACCCACAGTGGAATCTCAGCCTCAAATGGAAAATATTATGACAGTCACAGTGAAAAAGACATTTAAATTTGAAGTACAATTTTTGCCCTGGAAACAGGTGAACCACTCATCGAAATTCACAGCAAAATGGATTTTGCTTGTGAAATTAAAATGCTCATGTGGAGGGAGGAGGGGAAAGAGGAGGAGGACATAAAAGCAAGGTGTTTCTGAGTTAGGAATACTTTGAGTCCTGTGGGTGAACTTTGATAGCTGGGAAGTCTGCGTGCAGTGACGATGAGATGGTGTAACTCTAAGGTCAATATTCAAGACAGAAAGCAGACTTGGGCCTAAGGAAACTTCTTTACAGTCATAAAAAAGGTCAGTGAAAGAGAAAGAGCCCTCAAGGCATTCAGAGAGCATTTTGCTCTCAAAAGAGATGGGAGTGAATAGCAGAATATAAAGTAAGTCAAAGGGAAACAATAAGGCATCCCAGGTACCACCTTGCCATAAGCACACAAAGCAAGGAAGGCTTATGGAATGCGTTCAGAGCTGCAGTGCACTTTGGTGAGCTAAAATCCTGCCTCCCTTAAGAGCCCTGACACCACAGTGCCTGTTTTGGGCAGCATATTGTTCTGTGCAGCAAAGCAGAGCAGAATTGCTCCCTGCCCATTGCTCATGTCCCTGGCCACAGCTCGAGCACTCCCAAGTCCTGCTCAGGCAGGGCTGGCCATGGCTGCCCGTGTGTCGTGGGCTGGCCCAGTCCAAGGAGCAGAGCTTGCCCCACATTTCCAGAACTTTTGCTCTGTTGCCTGTGGAAGTGGAGCCAGCCAGGATTTTTGCACTGCATGGCCATCTAACACAGAGACTTTTGGCTCAGACCAGGAGACCCCCTGACAGCAGGGCACTCAGTGGGACTTATTTCTGTAAAATCTGAACTCCTGCTCAGCCCCCAGCACCCAGAGCTGAAGCAAACATCAGTATTCTCCAACGGAAGCTTTCTGGAGCAGAGTTAAAGTTAGAATGCTCTTTTGAGCTGATGCTGCACAGAATCACAGACTGAGCTAGGTTGGAAAAGACCTTTGAGATCATCAAGTCCACCCTATGACTTAACACCACCTTATCAACTAAACTATGTCACTGGATGCCACATCCAGTCTTTTTTAAACACCTTCAGGGACAGTGACTCCACCAATCCTTAATCACTCTTTCTGTGAAGAATTTTTTCCTAATGTCCAGCCTGAACTTCCCCTGGCACAGCTTAAGGCTGTATCTTCTTGTCCTATTGCCTGAGAGAAGAGACTGATCCCCACCTGACCACAACCACCTTTCTAGAGTTCTAGATAGCAATTAGGT